TAATGTAGATTTACCCTCAAGTAGCCACCCTCAATCAAAACTCTCCAGTTCCTGCTAATATTGTTGTAGTTCATCTTCCCCCAGTTTAGTACCTTCACCTGAGGACTGCTGTTATCCCTATCCATGACTCTCTTCAAACTCTCAGTATTATGGTCACTACTCCCAAAATGCTCCCCCATGTTATTGCTCCTCAGCTCCTGTCACATGTGTAGAATCATAGAGCTGGGCAGTCTCACATTGCCACAAACACTGAATACTCCATTCTTTGTGCTACTGTTGAAGGTCCCATTTGAGTCATAAAAGCCTCTGGAGAATGAGCGTTTTCCCAGAAAATGGTTTAACTGTTCAGAAAATGTGCTTCTTTATGAAAATCTCATTCCAGTTAATACTAGGAGTCTATGTTCAAAACTTTAGCATAGTGCAATATTTTAAATACAAATACTGAGTTTGGAATTTCTGAATATAATTTTTTTCAATTTTGTTTTTGACCTATTAAATCGCATTATATGCACGTCAATAGAATAACTGGGCTTGTACTCACTGAATTTAGAAGAATGAGGGAGGAGGGCACGAATCTCAGAAACATAAAATCCTGTTGGGACTAGATGTGAGAAGCATGTTTCTGATGTTGGGGGAAGTCCAGAACTAGGGGTCACAGTCTCAGAATGGGGGTAAGCCATTCAGGACTGAGATGAGGGAACATCTCTTCACTCAGAGTTGTGAACCTGTGGAATTCTCTACCGTAGAAAGCTGTCGGGGCCAGTTGGTTAGATATATTTAAGATGGAGCTGGGTGTGGCCCTTGCAGCTAAAGTGATCAAGGGATATGGAGAGAAAGCAGGAGTGGGATACTGAGATTGCATGATCAGCCACAATCATATTGAATAGTGGTGCAGGCTCAAAGGGCCGAATGGCCTACTCCTACACCTATTTTCTATGTTTCTATGTAACCGTCTGGCTTCCTAAATATGTCGACCTGACCAGGTCTAGTATGAATTTAATATATTGCCTTTCTTATAAATTTTGACCATAATTGTTATTAGATTATCCAAACCTTCCAGAGTTCAATTTTTGAGCTTCTAGCTATGCAAGAACATAAGACCTAGGAGCAGTAGTCCATCTGGCACATCGAGACTGCTCCACCATTCAGTAAGATCATGGCTGATCTTTTGTGGACTCAGCTCCACTTACCCACCTGCTCACAGTGACCTTTAAATCCTATAGTGTTCAAAAATCTAGCTTTGCCTTGAAAACATTTAACGAGGTTCCCTGGGCAGGGAATTCCACAGATTCACAACCTTTTAGGTGAAGAAGTTCCTCCTTAACTCAGTCCTAAATCTGCTCCCCATTATTTTGAAGCTCTGCACCCTAGTTCTAGTTTCACCTGGTCACAAATCACGACACCAGGTTATAGTCCAACAGGTTTATTTGATAACACAAGCTTTCAGAGCCTCAGTCCTTCTTTCACCTGCCAGTGGAAACAACCTCCCTGTATGTACCTTACCTCTTCCCTTCATATTTCTTTAAGTTTCGATACGATACTCCCCTCCATTCTTCTAAATTTCAATGAGTATAGTCCCAGTCTACTCTATCCCTCCTCATAAGTCAACCCTGTCAATTCCAGAATCAACCTAGTGAACCTCCTCTGCACCCCCTCCAGTGCCAGTACATCCTCCCTCAAGTAAGGAGACCAAAACTGTACACAGTACTCCAGGTGTGGCCTCACCAGCACCCCATACAGCTGCAGCATAACCTCCCTGCTTTTCAAGTCCAGCCCTCTAGCAACAAAAGACAGAATTCCATTTGCCTTAATTACCTGCTGCACCTTCAAACCAACTTGTTGTGATTCGTGCACAAGGACACCCAGGTCCCTCTGCACCACAGCATGCTGCAATTTTTTCACCATTTAAATAACAGTCTATTTTGCTGTTATTTCTACCAAAATGGATGACCTCACATTTATCAACATGGTACTCCATCTGCCAGATCCCTGCCCACTCACTTAACCTATCTATATCCCTCTGTAAACTTTCAGTGACCTCTGCTCAATTTGCTCTACCACTCATTTTAGTGTCATCTGCAAACTTTGACACACTACACCTGGTTCCCAACTCTGAATCATCCACATGAATAGTAAACAATTGCAGTCCCAATACTGATCCCCGAGGCACACCACTAACCACTGATCACCAACCAGAAAAATATTTACTTATCCCCACTCTCTGCTTTCTATTAGTTAACCAATCCTCTATCCATGATAATACAATACCCATAATGCCATGCCCCTTCGTCTTATGCAGCAGCCTTTTGTGCAGCACCTTGTCAAATGCCTCTGGAAATCCAGATACATCATATTCACCTGTTCCCTGTTGACCACAGTGCTAGTGATGTCCTCAAAGAATTCCAGTAAATTAGTTAAACGTGACCTGCCTCTCATGAACCCATGCTGCATCTGCCCGATGGGACAATTTCTATCCAGATGTCTCAGTATTTCTTCCTTGATTATAGATTCAAGTATTTTCCTCAGTACAGAAGTTAAGCTAATGGGTCTATATGCACCTTTTCTCTACCTCCTGTTTTAAACAGTGGCATCGCATTTGCTGTTTTCTAATCTGCTGGAACCGCCCCAGAGTCCAACGAATTTGGTAAGTTACCATGAGTGTGTAAGCCAATTCCCCCACCGTCTCTTTTAGTACCCTGGGATTCATTCCATCAGGGCCAGGAGACTTGTCTACCTTTAGTCCCATTAGCTTGCCCAACACTACCTCATTAATGATAATGACTGTTTCTAGGTCCTTGCCTTGCCATCAATTATTGGCATGCTATTTGTGTCTTTCACTGTGAAAACTGACCAAAAAAAAACTTGTCCAGCACCTCAGCCATTTCCTCATTTTCATTATTAAATGTTAATTTAGCACTGTAACTACACATCCAATGTATCCTTACCAATTCTGGCACCATGAAAATCACATTTCCAGAAGCTATGCACAGTACCTTTCTGCACAGGATCTCAGCCCACCTCATCGACACCCAGTAACTCTCTCGACATGAAAACTATGTTTTATATGCACTGGGTGTAATTGGCTGTCTAAAGTATTTACATTCTCCTTTAAGGTCCCATGACATCTTGTCAAATGCCTCAATTCAATTTCAAAGTAAGTTAATTAGCCACAGTTGCTTTTTAAATACATTTTGGTTGTGCCTTCATATGATAGTTAATTCTCCAGTGAATCAATTGATGATTATGTGCAAACTGCAGTCCTCAAAATCTGGAGCAGGGGTTGTATAGCTTGCTGCATGCAATTAGTTTCTTGAGCAGACATAGAATGCTCACTGAGCATCACAAGGATTGCAGCATTTGGACACTTTACACTGATTTATTTTCTAACGGTAGAAATAACAGGAGTATGAAAACAAACAAAAACCTGGAAAATACAATGAAAAACGTGTGTTACATCAACTGATTGCATACTTTGATATTTTCTTCATAAAATCTTGAAGAGTTTCTGGTGAAACAGTATGAACTGAAACAAAGCATTTTGTATTCAATGATTTTTCTCCCTTTGATGTTGAAGCAAGGAGTGGCGATACTGTTCCAAGTCAGGACAGTATGTGACTTAGATAGAACTAGCAGGTAATGGTGTCCCAAGTATCTAGTGCTGTTATACTTCTATAGGGTTGTGACCATGGGTATGGAAGATGTTGCCAAACAGGCCTAAGAAGGGTGCTGCAATACACTTCATACACAGACTACACTGTTCCCATTCTGCACAAGTTGTGGAGATCAAGCTGGTGGTGGGATGCTGATCAGGCAGGTAACTTTGAGCTGCTTGGTGTTGTGGGAGCTGCCTTTATCCAGATAAGTGACGAATACTCCAACACATTTCTGACTTCTAACTTATGGACAAGTGACAGACAAGCTTTGGGAAGTCCAGAGGTCAGTAACTGACTACAGAATTCCCAGCCACTGAGTTGGTCTTCTTGACAAAGTGTTTATATGGACGGTCTAGTTTAGTTGATGGTGGGTGGTTCAACAATGGTAATGCCATTGAAGGTCAAAAGGAGGTGGTCATTGCCTGGCACAATTGTCATTTATTCAGCTCAAAGCCAAAAATTATGCAACGTAGTGGCAGGTAACTGATGAAAGACTTGTACAGCAGCATGCCTGAACACCTGAACTAACAGTCTTATCATTAACATCAAACAATGAGAATGCAATAATATAAAACAAAGAACTGTGGTTGCTGGAGATCTAAAAAATAGAAATTGCTGATGAAACTCAGCAGACATACAGTAACACAGCATAGAAACAGACCCTTCAGTCCATCCCATCTGCAACGACCACAAATCCTAAAGTGATCTAGTCCCATTTACCAGCACTTGGCCCATATCTCTCCAAACCCCTCCAATTCATGTACCCATCCAGATGCATTTTAAATGTTGTGATTATACCCGCCTCCACTACCTCCTCTAATAGCTCGTTCCACATACGCACCACGCTCGGCACGAAAAAGTTGCCCCAATATTCCCTTTTATCTCTTTCCCCTCTCACCTTAAACCCATGCCCTCCAGTTTTGGACTCTACCCTACCCCGGGAAAAACACCTTGGCTATTCACCCTATCCATGGCCCTCACACTTTTATAGACCTCTATAAGGTCACCCCTCAGCCTCCAATGCTCCAAGGAAAAAAGCCCCAGCCTATTTAGCCTTTCCCTATAGCTCAAAAACTCCAATCTCGGCAACATCCTTGTAAATCTTTTCTGGCCCTTTCAAGTTTAACAAGTCTGGCACATCTTTGGGAAGAAAGAGAGTTAATGTTTCCAGTCCAGTGATTCCTCAGCAGAACAGTTCCAATGGAGAATATGAAAGCCTAATGGGCCAATAAAATTCTTCATGTTGCTGCAACATCCCAACCTCACAAACAAAAGCTCCTTAATGTTCAACCACAAAATAATTCAACAATAGAAAAAGGGTTGTTCTTAGTGCAAAAAACTACTCACTTGTATCACGGAAGGTTACATCATTTCCATCATAAGCATTCTTCACTTTACTAGTCATTGTCCGGAGGGCCATTATCTGCCGACGAATCATCATATCTGGTTTGGTGATATCTACTTTTACATCTGGATTGTCAAGCTGACTGGCTAGGCCATTACCCATTACAGCAAATGTGTACCTGAGAAAAATAATAAATAATCTATTTACGCTGAATTTTTTTTTATTCATTCACAGAATAAGGGTGTTGCTGTCTAGGCCTGCATTTATTGCCCATGCCTCATTGCTCAGAGGGCAGTTAAGAATCAACCACATTGCGGTGGGTCTGGAGTCACATTGACGCTAAACTAGGTGAGGATGGCAATTTCCTTTTCTAGAGGCTGATAGTGAACCAGGTGGGTTTTTCCAACAATCGACAACAGATTCATGGTCATCATTAGAGTTCTAATTCCAGATTTTTATTGAATTCAGATGTCACTATCTGCTATGGCGGGATTTGAACCTTAGCCCCCAGAACATTACCTGGATCTCTGGATTAACACTTCAGCGATAATACCACTAGGTCATTACTTCTCCCAATCTATGCAGAGCAAGAGAGTGAGAGTGAAAAAGAGGAGAAGAGAGAGAGATTTTGCAAATAATAGACTGCACTGAGATCAGGAGAGATTCATAGTCTGCATCAGTAATGGCACACTGTACCTACGGCAAAGTGAATATCACCAAAAGGGGAGGTGGTGATATAGTGGTAACTTCACTGGACTAGTAATCCAGAGACCCAGGTTTATGGACATCTGCCATCTCTGCAGCTCTTCTCACGGTTTTAACTTTCTGTTCCTCAACAGGAGATTTTATCACTTCTGGAAGTGAGTTTTTAAACTCCTCCAGCAAAATAATGTCTCTAAGAGCCTCATATGTCTTTTCCATCTTTAATTCTGTCATCCATCTATCGAAGTTGCTCTGTTTAATTCTTTCAAACTCAATACAAGTCTGACCTGGTTCCTTTCTTACATTCCTGAACCATTGTCTATATGCTTCCTGTTCTAATTCGTAGGCTCTAAATAGCCTGTTTTGCTTCTTCATATTTTCCTGACACAACCTAGCCTCACTAGCCCTGCCTACCAACTTGGTCTTAATTGACATTAGCTACACAGTCTATGGCCAGTTCATCTGTTTAGCCAATTTCTCAAAGGAAATGAGAATTTGGTAATGTTTGGGCATATTTGTATATATCCCTACCAGGCTATTGGCTGCAATAAGTTTGCTCATCATCAATTCTATCTTGTACTTTTACTTCTACTTCTATCATTTGAAGGCTTTTTGCTTCAAGTTCCAACTTCATCTTTTCCAACTTAAACATTCTTTCCCTTTCTTTCTCTTCAGCTGTCCTTTCCTTTTCCTCAGCCAGGACTCTTCTTTCCCTTTATCTTCTAACTGCAATTGTCTCATTTGCAATTTATTTTTTTCTTAAAACTCTACTGCACTTGACTGTTTCTCTGGATATACCTAAATGTTTGGCTAACTCCGTCACAATTTCAGCTTTCTTATTATCTCTAGTTAAACACAATTTTAGCCTGTTTGCTAATTCTACACGTGTCACCTTTATCTGTCATTCTAAGCTTTCTTCGCAAATTTGGGATGCATCTTCGACCCTAGAACCTCTTGGTTCTAGGGCAATGTTAAGAGCCATTTCCCCACTTCTGATTTAACCCCAACAACAAGCAACTGAAATTAAACAGATTTTCCTCTTCTCACTTAAGTTTTATTTTCAAGATTGAGGACACTAGTCCCCAAGTCTGTTTAAATCTGCTGGAACCTTTCATACCCTAAATCTGTTCAAACCTGTCCAAATCCTGGACGTCGAGCCCCCAATCTTTTATAAAGTGGAGGTTGACCCATCTCTGAGAACTAAAACCAAAATACCTGAACGAGGAGCACCTCGCCTCAATCTATAAAATGACTATGAAAAGTGGTGTAATCTGCTTTTCAGCAACTTCAAGTGGTTAAATGAAACAAATCCCTCATACTCACTTTAAACTCAACAAGTAACAACTTATTTTTCTAACTTGACCAGTGAACAAATTAACAAACAATAATTCCCTTCTAACTGCTAACTACTCACTACTCCGGACTACAAAATTCTAATGGTATGTTGTTCCAATAAACATATGTCCCACTTAGAATTTACTGTCTCGAAAAAACAGCTAGGTTGTGTCTTCCGGAATGTTCTGCGCCTTTTCCATCGATCACTCTGTCAGGAATGTTGACTAGCTGTGCCTTTAGTACCATTGTTATTTAAATGGTGCATTCTTGAAGACATACAGGAGGCTGTGAGAGGCAGCGATTCTCTCGAGAGCTGAGCGCCATTAGCACTGGCGGATAGCAGCTAGCTCTGTGGCTTTGTCCAACTGCCCCCTCATTTTATACCCTTGATGACATAATCGAAGACCTCATAGTCAAGAGGAGGAAAGCTCTCTGTTCCCAGCAAAACAATATTACCAATGAATCAAGGCGGAGATCTCAGCAAACAGAAAAGACAGAATTACAACAAAGAACTAGGGAAATCAAGAACTAATGGCAGACTGAGAAAGCCAAGTAAGTTGCAACTCCTTGCTGATAAGAAAGGCACTCAGGTTTCTTTTGTGCCACTAAAGCAATATACAGACCCTACACACTTGGCCTCAAACCAGTATGTAGTAAGGATGGAACAGCTTTGAGAGATAGGTAAAATATCTACTTTCAATGGAGAAGACACTTCAAAGAATTTCTAAACTGCAATGCAATCATCAATGAGGACATGTTTGGATGATCTTTGACTGGAGTTGTTGGTTGGTTCACTGAGCTGACTGGTTTTCGTGCAAACGTCTCATCCCCCTTCTAGGTGACATCTTCAGTGCTGTCTAGCCTCCATTGAAGCACTGTTGTTCAATTTTGTTCTGAATTTATCCTCTGTCGACATCACACTAGCAAAGGAGACTCTGACCCAATTACAAGACAATCCGAAAACACAGACCTCCAATGAAACCATCAGCAAGGACAAGATGCTGAAATTACTAGACCTATGCCTTACCATGCACTTTGTCTTCAATGGCCAGGTATGTGAACAAATTAATGGGACACCCATGGGTTCACCCATCTCGGGTCAGAAGTAGCTATGCAAACACTTGAACGCACAGCCCTTCCCCAGATCCAGCCTAAACTATGGGTCAGGTATGTGGATGATACTTTCGTGCTCTTTAAACAAGCAAAGTTAGAAGAAACACACTATCGTATTAACAGCATATTCACTGGGATCAAGTTCACCAGGGAAGAGGAGAACAACAATCAACTCCCATTTCTAGACGTGATGGTGGAACAAATGAACAATGGTGAATTCCTTACCAATGTATACAGAAAGACCACACACACAGACCAAATTCTGAATTACAACAATAACCACCCCTCCGTCCACAAATACAGCTGTGTCAAGACTCTGTTTAATTGAGCAATAACACACTGCAACACTTTGGAGCTACACAAAAACGAAGAGGAACACCTATATGTTCTCTTTACAAACAATGGATATCTTAACAGCTTCACCTGCTGATGCCTGGCAAATAAACAACACCAAGAAGACACAGTATGCCCCAACACACTGGCCACCTTACACTGTATTAGAAACATATTGGAACTGACTACAAGACTCCTGCAACCTCTTGAAATAATAATAGCACACGAACCAACAGCCATACTTCACCAGCTACGCTTAAAGACGAAAGACCCCATACCCACAATGAGCAGGTCAAATATGATATATGATATGCAACAACTGTGAGACGCAATACATAGAGCAGACGGGCAGGTAACTCGCCACCAGGATACACAAACACCAACTCACAGCAAAACAGAACAATCAACTCTCCCGCGTTTCTATTCACTCCGACAAAGGAGGACATCAGTTTAACCGGGACAATGTAACAGTACTGGGACAAGCAAAACAAAGACAAGCACGAGAATTCCTGGAAGCCTGGTTTTCAGCTACTGGTACCATAAACAAACATGTTGAAGCAGACCCCATCTACATACCGCAACAGAGCAAAATTGGATACTGAACTACCCACCATAACAGACCGGACCATATAAATTCAAAATGGACCAGAAAAACAGCACTTCAACGGAGCCTAGGCAGCACTGAAGATGTCACCTAGAAGTGAGATGAAACGTTTGCATGAAAACCAGTCAGCTCGGCAAACCAACCAACAACTCCAACCACAACCCGAGCTACAAATCTTTGCTAAAACAGTAAATGATCTTGGACTCATCGCAACATGGTAGAAGTTGAAGCCGCCATTAGACATAAGAAGAATGGAAAAGGCACAGGATTAGATGGGATTCCTGTAGAATGGAAGACCCTGTCAAAGACTGGCTGTTCACAGAACTGATTATAAATGTTTCATTGGTCTGTAAAGTAAAAAAAAAATTGGTATAATTGTACGATATGCACCCCCCCAGTAGTCAGAAGGAAATCGAGGAGTAAATATGCAGAAAGATCTCAGATATATGTAAGAATGATAGGGTTGTAGTAGTGGGGATTTTAGTTTTCCAAACATTGACTGGGACTGCCACAGTGTTAAAGGTTTGGATGGTGAGAAATTGTTAAATGTGTTCAAGAAAATTTTCTTTATCAATATCTAAGTGCTCCTGCTACAGAAGGAACAAAACTTGACCTTCTCTGGGAAAATAAGGCAGGGCAAGTGATCATAATTCTATTAGTCTTAAAAAAGTTATGGAAAAGGATAAGCCTTCCATAAAAGTTAAGTTCTTGATTGCAGTAAGGCAAATTTTAATCTTGAGACAATAACTTTCAAATGTTGATTGGAGTAGACAGTTCACAGGTAAAAAGACAACTGAAAAGTGGGAGGCTTTCAAAAGGGTGGTAGTTCAGAGGCATTAAATTCCTGATAGAGTGAAAGGTAAGGCTGGTAAGGTTAGGGAACCATGGATTAATAAAGATATCGATGTTCTGGTCAAGAATAAAGAAGAATCATATTAGAGATAGAAAACTGGGATTGAATGAATCTCTTCAAGAGTACATAGAATGTAGGGGCATTCTTAAGAGGGAAATCAGGAAGGCAAAGAGGGGATATGAAATAGTCTTGGCAGATAAGGTTAAGGATAATCCAAAGAGATTCTACAAGTACATTA